ATAGAAGCTCCTCTTCGTACTCTTTGGTTGCATGCTTCTTCGAACCCACCCCCTCTAGCTTCTTTTTATGGAGGGTTGAACGAAAAGAACGTCAAACAGACAAATCAAAAGATTTCATAGAGACTCGAACACTGAAGACCATCTTTAATTCACGGTGGATCGAACGAATATTGCATATCCATTTTTGTTTCGATCTTTCTGAGATCATCAAAGGTTATGGACATTTGTAAATTCAAGTCTATTTAAAAAATATTTACTTATCATTTCTTTTTTTTACTTTATTTAATATTTTAATATAAAATTAAAATATAACAAAATAAGGGGGTTGACTCATTTTTATTATGAATTGTAAAAATTATGTAAAGGAAATTAAGATGGTTTTTTATTGTTTACAAAAGTAATATAAATTTCACACTCATAAGTTCTCAAATTCCAAAGTTATCAAACACTTAGTTTTATATTTTCAAATCCACAGTTCTCAAGTTTCCAAATTTTTAAAAACACAGTGCTTATAATAATTAACACTTTAAGATTATACTGTTATACCAATGTGATGCTCAAAATACTACTGACTCGCAATGGATCATTTTCATCCCCTAATTTAAGGTTTAAATTATGTTCCAAAATCTCACAACTTCACTAGTGACGTTCACTACCATCAACCCCTAATCTAAGGTTTAAATTCTCTGTCAAATTCCAATCGAATCGAAATTACACATGGTAATTATAATAAATAACATTATAACATCATACCAATTCAAAATTTCACTACTACATATCCAACCCCTTAATTCTGTCTCGAGCTATGAAATAAAAAATGTACACGGTGTAATAAGTAATATATCAATACCAAAGTTAACCACCAACCTAAAATATAAATTTCGCATCAGAGTATACATTACAATCAAATCCAGAAAACGCGGCTAAGAAGATGGAAGAGAATTAAAAAAGCTATCTACGGTATAATAAAAAGGAAGGTATTCTAGAAGCAGGCGAAGAAGAAGAATAAGAAAAAGATAGCGGGTAGTATAAGGGTTGGCAAAGAGAGGGTGTCGTTCGCGAAATGACACGAGAAGACGAGTCGGAGGCGGCGGCGGACTATAAGCGGGAATCTCTCGATAGAAGGCACATCCCTCGGCGTGTTGTGGTGTTGGTAGCAATGGCACACATTGGCCGGTTCGTTCGTGTGGTGCGAGTGGGAAAAGCTCGTCGGGGCAAGGTGGAAAAGAAAATCGCTCGCAGGCTATTTTCCGGAGGAATTTTTATTGGTAGACCCGCCATGTTGTCGAGGAGAAGGGGGTAGAGGGTAGCAGCGAGCGAAAGCAGGCGATTGGCGGTTACCAGGGTAACGCATCTCCCCGTCGTCCAATGAGAGAGAAGCCTCGTGCTTTCGTTCGAGGGGGATGAAAAGGGAACGCTTGGTTCCAGGCAACACAACCTCTCTCCCGCGGGGTAGCAACCCCTCTAAACGGTCTCTGTCCCCCCTCGGAGTCACGGGGATAACTGCATTTCGCGGACAGAATCCCACAAGAACTCACGGCGAGCGGTCGCCCCTCTAACACGGCCGACTCTCCTATCGTTTCGGGCTTTTTCATCCGCGTTACGTAGTAGTAATCGAAGGAAGGGCGCGAAGTATAGTCATCGGACCTTACACCGGGACCCGTTCATCGCTGGGTCCTCGCGCAGTTTCGGGCACGCGCCATTTTCTCTTCGCAATTATTTCGATATTTCAATTTTCAAGGGCACCTCTCCTTTGATACTTCATCCCACCCCCACCCCCGACCGCCCTACTCCTTCGGACGACCCACCTAATGGCATCGACGAGATAATAACGTTTGAATTTCGAATCGAGGCCAGCTTACGATTAACCGACAGCCGTGGCTTCAACGTCTCGAACCCGATCGTTCAACCGACACGTGCATTATCCACCATCTTGCGCACGGTACCTTTCGTTTTTCTTCCCTAATTTCACCACCGTATACGGGATTCTCGAGGAGGAATTCTGGGGATGTCGGAGTGTGCACGCTCGAGGGGTGGAAGATCGACGATCGACGCTCGATGAAAGAGATCTTGGGGCAAGCGAGATTAGAACTGGATTTTTGTTCAAGTGTCAGTATTGTGTTGAAGTGAACAGGGATGTGTGCGGAGAGTTCTTCAGGTTCTTGCTGAAGATACTTTTGAGTCACTGTACACTGATTCAGTGGAGATAAGAGTTGCTGAAGAAAAAGGTGAACTTTTGAGAACTCGGGGTTGAAACGACGTTGAATGTCGTTGTAAATAGATTAATTACTCTTCGAAAATTGATGAGCTTGAAGAGAAGAATAAAGGGATAGGAAACAGGTTTAAAAGAATAGGTGTTGAAACGTTAAATCAATTGTTCAAATAGAATATTTTTAGTTGACTGATGTCACGAATATTGATTGAGAAGAAAGCAAGGACTATAGTACGGATTCAGGAAAATCCTTATGAATATAAATAAAGTAATTAGTACAACAAATTGTGACTCGAAGGTTATGTTAACCTTGTGGCTCCTCCATAACGATTAAACGCGACAAGTTAGGGAACGAGTGATTATAGAATCAAGGATAAACCTTGTGATTATAGAAAAACAATAAAATAATAATTAAATAAACTGATTATGAAGGAAAGGTTATGTTAACCTTGCTTTTATGACGACTATTAAAGACAACACAATCAAGGGAAGGCTTAACATTGTGATTATAGAGAAACAAAGTAACTGGATAATTAAACATTTTGACAAGTTACATTAATCTTGTAGTTCACGAGGATTAAATATCTTCTGAATACAAAGATAACCTTAAACCGAAAGTTAAATAGCTTTGGAACTAAACTGCAGGAGTAGAAGAAACAAGAGACGTTCAAAAAGCCTTGAGAATATAAACAAGAATTAATTAGTTAAAAATAAATCTTGTATAAACTTGAAGGGTGAAGTATACTGAGACTTAATGGAAGCTTCTAACCTATAAGTTTCGGTTTCGAGATTTTCATGTAGAAGAAAAGGAATCATCAAGAAGTCTTCGTGAATATAGGAAATATAACTTGAAATCATATCTCTAGAAACTATCTACCCTGAGTTATAGGACAAATTTACCTTAACAAGATTGATAGCTTAACGAAGAAGAATAATAGAAATCTTTCAAATAAGGACCACTTTGAACTAGTGACACCATTGTAAATGTAACTTGAATAATACTTATTCAGTTGGGAAATTAAATAATACTGAGCTAGAAGAAGTCACATTAACCGGTGCTTAACAAGGATTAATTCATGAAGAAGCTTTGTGAATATAAAAAGAAAATTAATAATACCACAAACATAATAAGTTTTTATTTGGAACTACGTAAGAAGTAGAACATTGTTTGAAGAAGAAGATAAGTTACAACCTTGATTCCTCAACAATATTCACCAAGAATAATCTACTCATACCTCTGCAGACAAAACTGGAATACTTCAGAGTGGAAGTAAATGATTATCATATCAAATTTTGATCGGGAGGCTTTAATATTGAGCCTGCAATATTAATCTTCTTAACCCTTGTGGTTCCTCAACACGACGGACTATTCATCAAGAATATATTCATCAAGAACCATAAAATAAATAATACCACTAAAACTTAGTAATTACTGTTCAAGTAATTACTTTAGACTGGAACTACACAAATTCTGATGAAAATATTAACCTTGCAGTACTTTTAACTTGTGGATCCTTAAGGAGGACTATAAACTCATCAAGAAATCTTGTGAACATAAAATTCTTAATTACTCACAGATAACCAGAATAACTTGAGCAATAGTTACTGATTGAAAAGAAGAAGTAACGTTGGTGATTCTTCAACAAGGCTATTAACTCAAGAATACTTGTGAATATCAAAAGGGACTACATGATTCTTTCACAAATAAAGCTTGAGTACACATTATAAGCTAACTAATACTAATTTTGATTCAGAAGAATATTAACACTAACCCTGCAACTCGTTTCAACTCGTGGTTTCTTAAGAACTGTTCCGTCAAGAAGCCCTGTGGATACAAAAAGAAAACCTCAAACTAATCTCTAGTAACAATAACCAGAACTTTGGTTTCAAACTAAATTAATAGGACAAACGTTGTCTTAACTTCAGTGGTTCCCTGATAGACTATCAATTTGTCAGGAACCCTTGTGAATATCAAGAACTATATACTCCATTCACAGATAAAACTTCAGCAGTTGTCTCTTCAAACTGGAGGTGAACAATTTAACCAAGAAGATTAATCCAATATCGACTCCAACCTTCATTAATAAGAATTAATTCAAGTGAACCTCCATCCATTCAAACCTTGTGAACATAGAAAGAAAAGAACTCCTGCAAACAGCCTTCTAATAATCCGAACAAAAGCAAACCAAACGCAGAAGAAGTCTGCCTTCAAACCCAGAAGAAGTCTGACCGTCTCCCTAACCATCCAAAATAAAAAGGATAACCCAGGAGAAACCTTCGACTCGTGGCAAAATAAAATAGAACTTTGAGTTCCGAGGAGATTACAGCAAAACTAAGACTACTACTACTAGAAGAACTACTATTAGTACAGTCTATAGTCTACAGTCTACAGTCCACAGTCTGCTACTAGTAGAACTACAACTACCAACTTAATAATAAAACTAAGATTAGAAAGAACTTGTTGCGGTTCCTCGAGAAGGGGGCCAACGTAGGATGTTCTAGTGGGTGTACGAGGAACGTGAGGAGTATTCGGCTCGAGAGACCTCGACAAGGTCACCCCGGCATCACCCTGGCTAACGACCTGTCTGGAGGTACCGGGGGTCCCGGTGCAGGAGGCGTCGGTTCCGTCGGTGGCACCTCCGTCGGCGGCGGCGGTGGTGGCGGTTCTTCTCTGCCGACCACCGCGTTGAGCCTCGATCATCAACAATTCAACATATTCCCGGCGATTTTCAGCAGACAGTTGAACTTCTCCGCGGCAGCGGCCGCCAACTGCGGACAGAACAAACTGATGGACGAGTTAAGGCCGAATCTCGGATTGCTCGGCGTAGGTCTCGTCGAGAACGAGAGCTTTCATTTGAATCATAATCAAGAGAAGAGGAAGTGCAGCAGCACCAGCTCCAACGAGCAAGATTTTAGTCTGTACGGGGTGCACCAGGGGCTGGAAGCTAGCCCGCCAACGCCCGCTGCGACGCCCGGAAGAAGCAGCGTCGGCGCCACCTCCACTGTTGGTGAGCTTCTTCTTATATTCTTCTTATTAGGTTAGGTATTTTTTATGTGGATGGCTCATTATTATTTGTGTAGTTATCTTTGATATTGTTCTTGTTACGTCAGTTGTTTTTTTAGGTATTTTACTTAATTTTATAAGGGCAGATTAGGTTAGGTTATTATTTAGGGAGCTTGGTTTTTATTCATATTGTTACGCTAGCTATTACTTAGGTATTTAACTTAGTTTTTATTTATGCAGTTAGGTTAGTTATTTAGTTTAGTTTTTATTTATATAGTCAAGTTAGTTATTTAGGTATTTAGCTTAGTTTTTATTTCATGTAGTTAGGCTAATTATTTAGGTATTTAACTTAGTTCTTATTTATGTAGTCAAGTTGGGTGTTCTTCAGATATTTAACTTAGTTCTACAAGTGAGTTATTAATTAGGGAGTTAGCTTAGTATTTATCTGTGTAGTCAAGTTACCTATTATTTAGGTAATCAGGTTAGTTTTTATTTGATCACGTCACATGATCATGTCATAATTCATAGCACAGGTATTTGGTTCCCTAGGGATACATTTCCATCGGTTTCATATAATGATGATGACAACTACGTTTATGTGAAGGAACTCTTGATTCTAGAAACGAAACAATATTTCAATTACAGTCCTTCAGTTAGTTTTATAATAGTTATCTTCAGTTATTGATATAATATTAATAAACATAGCGTTGAATGGGATGGAAAATTTTGTATGAGCCTGGTAACGCTTATGACATAGTTTGCACCTAAAGTTTGAAATATAGTACTTAAGGTACTGAGATCATATTACCTAAATTCTTTGTATTCGTTAAAAAGTTGTTACATCACAAAATGGCCGACAACCACAGAAAACGATGATTTCAAAACGTAAACTCTGACACAAATTAACTACGTTAAAATAGGTATCTGAAAATAGCATTCATGTTACAAAAATTGAAGCTGAAATGAAAATAAATTTGATAAAAATAAAATTATCAGTATTTTTTGTAAAAACTAGCGACAAACGTTAAAAAGCCGCAAGTTGATAAAAATGGCTTCGTCACGTGTTTATCAAAACGACGTTAGTGCATCAAAGTCATTAATTTTTTTAATAAAAACTAGTAAGTATCGAGCAGTATGATGTACCACAAATTTTATAACATAGCTTTGAAACTTGAATAATAAACGTAATCAAAATGGCTACCTAACGTTACCAATATTTTCCATAAAATCCAGTTACAAATGATTCAAAAGTCGTGGTATTTTATTAAATTACATGTTTCAGGAATTTTCTAAAAAAGAAGCTCAAATAAATTTAATAAAAATGGCTACATTGTCAAAATTTTTCCAGAAAACTAGTTACAACGAGTGATTTTATTAACAAGTCTTTTATTATAGCAATAATATGTATCAGGAATTTTCTAACAAATTTAAAGCTTAAATAAATTCAATAAAAATGGCTACATTGCAAAAATTTTTCCTAAAAGCTAATTACCAAAAATTAAATAACCGTCGCATGATTTTATTAAGTCGTGTTTTACTCCTGATTAAATAGTATACATATAAAGAATGCTATTAATCATAAAATAGAAGTTAAACGAGAGATGTATATCTAAAGAATGACTCCAAGAGAAAAATGGACAACGTGTCGTCTCGATATAGATGAATTTTCCGCTTGTTGAGCTCACGGTACACATGTTCGTCGACAATGCCATCAACCAAGGTGTTGACAATGGGGTGCAGAAGCTAGACCATATGGTGGTACCTGTTTTGCGGGCTATTATTATGTGCTACTAGGGTTTAAGAGAGCTTAGCACTAAAGCTGTGATAATGGGGTTCGTACAAAGCGTTTTGATGGAGAGGCATGTCGAGTGTTGTCACTAGACCGTGTTGCAGTGAAATGAAACAGTGACTATTTCTGATTTAAATGGACAGTCTGTTAATTAAACTCAAAAAAATTGTAGTCATTTATACTTCTAGGGATTTTTAATTTTGGTAGTGAATTACAAATTTGAAATAGCAAAAAGAATCAGTTCACATGTATCAATATGTATCACATATATCAGTTCATAATCATAGTTCATATAAATTTTATATCTGAAACAGAATTTTTGATGGATGAAACAACCCCTCAAAATAAAAATATAGGGTTGGTTTAATTCTTGTATGTAACATAACTTTTTTGTGCAAAAATGAAAGCATTTACAAAGCTTGTATTTTAATAAGAGAGAAATGAAAAAATAATTAAGTCTATTAGATTGAATAATTGAACTAGGTAAATGCCTGATTAATTATATAAAATATGTCGAATGCAAACACTCTAAAAATAGTACAAAATAGAATAGAAAAGTTCTTTTAAATTTATTTTATTTAGTTCATGTGAAAATATAGAATTTATGAGTCCGTTAAAAACAATTTACCATAGGCAGGCACAATGTTTATAGACAATTTCGAACCTTTAACGTTGCGAGAATGAACTACTCCTAAATTTGATTATAATTATATAAAAACTTGCTGAGTAACTGTATTTACCGAGTGAAGTGAAATAAGGAAGAAAAACTGAGTCGATCGATATGAAATTTTAACATGGTATTCTAGATAGATGACATTAAGTGCTGTAGGTAGATAAACATATATTGAATTTAAATATGTGTACATGTTTATTAAAAATATATCGTTTGTTGTTTCAAAAATTTGGAAAAAGAACAGATTTAATATTGTATCTTTAAACTAGTGTCACTTATCAAAATTAAATTTACGACTCACAAGTTTGAAGAATTTTATCTACAATTTAATTAATTAAATTAAAAACAATTTTAATATTTTTATAAAAGTTCAAGCTTCAAATTGATGTGCCGTAAGTGCCATTTTGTGACGTTTTTATTAACCATGATCAAATTTTGGGAGACTTCACATATTTTGATAATTGGTTATTGTTTGCTGTTAACTGCTGAATCAGCCATTTTGTATTAAGAATGTAACTTGAATACAACCTAACCTTCATCAAACTTCAAGCTTTAAAATGGTATAACACAAGTGGTGTTTTATGTTATTTTTATGTCGTTAATTTACATTGGACTTTATAGATTTTTTAATTTATCATTACTCGCTGTAGAAGTCGGCCATTTTGTGTTAACGTAAAATTTGATGGACTATCTATGCGTGTAGAGATGTAAGTGTGCAGGAATCTAGGAATTTAGGTATCTAGGGATGTAAGAAACTAGAGATGTGGGGATTTAGGGATGTAAGAATCTAGAAATGCAGGGATTTAGGGATGTTGGAATCTAAAGATGTAGGGATTTAGAGATGTAGGAATGTAGAAATCTAGGATTGTAGAAATTTAAGTTTCCAAAAATCTAGAACCCTACAGATTTAAGAATCCATAAATTGAACAACTCAACAATTTCATAACTTGAACCTTCATCAATTTGAAAATTTTTAACTTACACTTCTACATTTCTAAATAATTCTTCATTTTCCTTATTTCCAAACTTCAGATTTCTCAATTTCCGAATTTCCAAATATGTATACAAATTTGTATACAAATCAAAATCGATCACGTCTCACTATAATTACTCGATTATCTCGTATCAAATTAAAAAAATTTCACAAGAAATTCACTGTATTTCTTCATAGTCCACCGAAGAAAGTCCGGCATTTTGTTTTACCTTCCAAGGTCGGGTATCCCGGAAACGAGATGAAACTGGTAGCATTCTAATGCAAATGAAAACTCTGCAATGTTGAGCTAAGTGAGAGAAGGGAAAAAAATGAAAGGAAGGAAATGGAAGAAAAAAAGAGGAAGATTAATGTCATTAACCGACGGCGGAAGGTTCAACTACTGGCACAACGAAGTTGGGTCAGTTCTGACCCCGTTTGAACACAGATTATTCTATCGTGCTTAATGTGACTAAAAAATATATAATGACATTTGTTAACGATGTAACGAGTATAATTTAATATCTTAAAATTTTATAAAATAGAGTATTTTTTGGTTTTAGCGTAGGGTGGTATTGTTATAGTTCTTTTATAATTATTATTGCTATTACTAGTGGTATTATTATTGGTATTATTATTACTATTACTAGTGGTATTATTATTGGTATTAGTATTATTATTACTATTGGTATTATTATTACTATTGGTGTTACTGTTACTGTTGGTATTACTATTACTATTACTATTAGTATTACTATTATTATTACTACTACTATTGCTACTACTATTACTATTACTACTACTATTACTACTACTGTTACTACTACTGTTACTACTACTGTTACTACTACTGTTACTACTACTGTTACTACTACTGTTACTACTACTGTTACTACTACTGTTACTACTACTGTTACTACTACTGTTACTACTACTGTTACTACTACTGTTACTACTACTGTTACTACTACTGTTACTACTACTGTTACTACTACTGTTACTACTACTGTTACTACTACTGTTACTACTACTGTTACTACTACTGTTACTACTACTGTTACTACTACTGTTACTACTACTGTTACTACTACTGTTACTACTACTGTTACTACTACTGTTACTACTACTGTTACTACTACTGTTACTACTACTGTTACTACTACTGTTACTACTACTGTTACTACTACTGTTACTACTACTGTTACTACTACTGTTACTACTACTGTTACTACTACTGTTACTACTACTGTTACTACTACTGTTACTACTACTGTTACTACTACTGTTACTACTACTGTTACTACTACTGTTACTACTACTGTTACTACTACTGTTACTACTACTGTTACTACTACTGTTACTACTACTGTTACTACTACTGTTACTACTACTGTTACTACTACTGTTACTACTACTGTTACTACTACTGTTACTACTACTGTTACTACTACTGTTACTACTACTGTTACTACTACTGTTACTACTACTGTTACTACTACTGTTACTACTACTGTTACTACTACTGTTACTACTACTGTTACTACTACTGTTACTACTACTGTTACTACTACTATTACTACTACTGTTACTACTACTGTTACTACTACTGTTACCACTACTATTATTACTACTATTACTATAAAATTATTGCTCAATTTTACTACTTTCATTTGCTAAAAAAATTGTTCAATATTATTGCTTTTATTTGCTAAAAAAAATTGCCCAATTTTATAACAAAATTTTAATAAAATATCCAAGTATTTTTTGTTTCTATTGTTATTTTGAGAAGACATAATTATTTCAAGTGGAAGTGCAAGAATATTTTTATTATCAATATTTTACTATAGTTTCGAGTTATTTTACGCAAACTTCAAGTTCTTGAATACTACAATAAAATACGAGGAGTTCCATCACGAAAAATGGTGAAATTTAGTTAGGTACTTTTTGCAAGCTGAAATAAATAGTCACTAATTTTATTTTTCTATGTATTTTTTTTACTAACATTTTTTTTTATAAAATTTAAAAAATTTGAAAGCATCTAATAGTTTTAATTACATTATTCTTCTTGAATGACATGGTATTATGTTTTACTCCACAAACATGTCTCACTATAAAAACATAATAATAATAAATAAATTATAATAGAAAATTAGGTTTGTGCATTTGGCACTTGTTTAATAATATCGACTACATATCTAGTATATATACAGACTATGTCCCGACTAAATCTGGTAAATTGACAATTAAAAGCAATGCAGGTCCCTCTTGTTCGCTCGCCATCTCATCAGACACGCACAGTGCAAAGAATATTAATTATTGATGTTCAAAAAACTTTTTTACATTGTACATTCAAATTGTACTTCTGTCTTCATTTAAATTACATTCATTTACAATGTACAGTACAAAAAATATTCTTTATAGAAAGGCTTTATTTAAACAGAGTACAATTTAGAAGATAACCGAAACAATTCCGGTCGCAGCACGATAAAATAATTTCTGAAAATCGATGGGGTTGCAATTGTAGACAGCGTTTTTCATACTAACTGGAATTTAACGGCAGATGTCAGCGGAGGACAGCTGCATGGAATACAGGAATCTGCATTACTAGTAATCCCATAGAACGTGTCATTCGTCATGGAACACGTTTCACCTCGTTAAAATCGTCGGTAATTATTTCGAATGCATCCCGAGGCAGATGGTATTTTCGAACGCTGTAACTATACTATGTAGCGATGGGTTTGCTGTCGTTTTAAATCGTTTATTGTACATAGGGTTATTTCAAATGAATGATATAAAAGTTTTGAGAAAGCAATTTTAAGGTAGAGAGTAAAGGAGTAAGTAAGGAAGGTTAAATTCAATAAATGAGGGAGGTTAAATTCAGTTTTTGAAATATTAGGAGCTGCTGATTACTGACTGCAATTATATGTGTAAACAGGTGCTCATGATAGTTATTAGAGCTGAATAACAATAGTAGTTTGCTAATGGATGTAGAAAGAAGGGTTCCAAATTAGAAAATTTAGGAATTTGAAAAGTACAGATTTAGGGAATTAGAGGGTTACAAAATTGAAGAGTTAAAAATTAGGAAATTAGGACATTAGGAAGTGTGGGAATTTGAAAATTTCCCAATCCGACCTGACAATCTAGAAATTTAGAAATCTACAAATGTAGAAAACGATAAATGTAGACCTTTACAAACTTAGAAATTTTGAAATGTGGGAATCTACGAATCTGGAAATATAGAAATCTAGAAATCTAGGAATTTACCAATCCCAAAATGTAGAAATCCCGAAATCTACAAATTCCAAAATGTAGAAATCCCGAAATCTACAAATCCCAAAATGTAGAAATCCCAAAATCCACCAATCCACCAATCCACCAATCCACCAATCCACCAATCCACCAATCCACCAATCCACCAATCCACCAATCCACCAATCCACCAATCCACCAATCCACCAATCCACCAATCCACCAATCCACCAATCCACCAATCCACCAATCCACCAATCCACCAATCCACCAATCCACCAATCCACCAATCCACCAATCCACCAATCCACCAATCCACCAATCCACCAATCCACCAATCCACCAATCCACCAATCCACCAATCCACCAATCCACCAATCCACCAATCCACCAATCCACCAATCCACCAATCCACCAATCCACCAATCCACCAATCCACCAATCCACCAATCCACCAATCCACCAATCCACCAATCCACCAATCCACCAATCCACCAATCCACCAATCCACCAATCCACCAATCCACCAATCCACCAATCCACCAATCCACCAATCCACCAATCCACCAATCCACCAATCCACCAATCCACCAATCCACCAATCCACCAATCCACCAATCCACCAATCCACCAATCCACCAATCCACCAATCCACCAATCCACCAATCCACCAATCCACCAATCCACCAATCCACCAATCCACCAATCCACCAATCCACCAATCCACCAATCCACCAATCCACCAATCCACCAATCCACCAATCCACCAATCCACCAATCCACCAATCCACCAATCCACCAATCCACCAATCCACCAATCCACCAATCCACCAATCCACCAATCCACCAATCCACCAATCCACCAATCCACCAATCCACCAATCCACCAATCCACCAATCCACCAATCCACCAATCCACCAATCCACCAATCCACCAATCCACCAATCCACCAATCCACCAATCCACCAATCCACCAATCCACCAATCCACCAATCCACCAATCCACCAATCCACCAATCCACCAATCCACCAATCCACCAATCCACCAATCCACCAATCCACCAATCCACCAATCCACCAATCCACCAATCCACCAATCCACCAATCCACCAATCCACCAATCCACCAATCCACCAATCCACCAATCCACCAATCCACCAATCCACCAATCCACCAATCCACCAATCCACAAATCCACAAATCCACAAATTCCCAAATTCAGACCTCCAGAGCACCAAACCTCCAAAAACCCAGAACTCCAGACCTCTAAAAATCCAGAAATTCCCAAAAACTACCCACTAAAAAATCCTAAACTCCCTCACAAAAAAATTCAAAAATCGCAAAAAATCAAAAATACAAAGAAATATACGCATAACTGTCAAAACCAACCCTATTCTTACAACACAGTATAATGACCGTCATATTAAATCACCTGTAAAGAAATCCCCCCGAGCGTCGGTTGAAATCAGATTTTAAGAAACCGGACGTAAAATGCTCCTTGTCTTCCCGTTGAACTTGACCGAGTTTCACTGTTCACCGGGTAACGGGGCAAGGTATGTAAAGTGGACAGCATTCATCCTTGAACATTGAATCAGCATGTAACATGATTAGGTCATTAACGCCCTAACCAAGTTAGCATAGTGCGAGGGACTTCGCTCGCCACCGTTACCTAGACCGTATGTTCGTATGTTCGTTCATAAAGCCGATACCGTGAAACAACCAAGACGAACGTGGATTTCTCTGTATTTGAAAGACATCGCGTCTCCTCAACTGTTTCTTCGACTCGAAACATCCTAACCTAACATCGCGCTGCGCTCCATTTTGTAACGCGGTTATGCGCGCGTCGTATACTTATTTGATATCTTTATTTATTTTGTACTACCTGATATTTTCCAAAATATCTTTTCTATATTTAATATTATTCGAATATTATTAACTATTTTTGAGGTTAGGTTAACTTCGAAGTTAGGTTTATTCTACCGATAAAGTACTTTAGATTAGATTTTATTAAGTTTTATAAATTAGGTTCTGTTAATTAGGATGTTTAGGTTAGATTCTGTTAAGCAAGTTTTTTAAAATTAATATTGATTGAGGTTTTTAAGGGTAAATACTATTGATTCTGATTTTTTATTTTAAGTTCCAATATAACATAGAAAGGTTAGGTTCTAACTCTTCTTTGATAAGTTCTATTTTAGGTTAGTTGTGATTTTTAGAAAGTGATTGTATGGTTTTTAGGATAGAGTTTGTTTATCAAGACTCCAAAGGTTATGATCTATAAATTACGATATTTAGGTTAGATTTTATGGATGAAGCATTTTAAGACTACTACTGATTATGTCTTTTAGGTTAGGTTCTGAGTTGTTTAAAGTTAGGTACTATTTACTAAATTTTCTAACATTAGTATTGTTAATTTATTGTTAATTGAACATTGTCAATTGTACTGTTAATTTAATAGTTTAGGTTAGTTCCAAATATTACAAATCTAATTTTGTAAACCACACGTTACGGAATTGTCAGACATTTTACATTTGTCGGCCATTTTGTCTATGGTCATTTAGCCAGTAACCTAATACTATAATCATTTATTAAATACATATAATTAATAGTAAATATAAAGTGTTATATATAGTTTCTTTATGATTCACTGACTATAAAATTGTTTTTATTTTTAATTATTTGTTTGTAATTTTTTAGGTGCAGAAGGAGCTTTCAAAAAATTAAAACCTGACCCCTGTGCTTCGAGTCCTCACATCGGCCATACTCCTACCACCGCAAGTTGTCCAACACCTGCTCGACGACGGCACAGAACTACTTTCACACAGGTTTGTCATAGCTCATATTTCATTTCAAGTATCATCATTTCAATACATATAATATTATTAGATTATACTGTCAATGTAATATGTATATGCATATTATAAATTTTTGTTTAATTCGATCACTTTTACTATACGTAATTATATTTTTAAAGTCGGATGAAGGGTAGATTCTTGTTCAGATTAACAATTTGGTAATTTGGGAGAGTGGAAATTTGGGGACTTGAAAATCTAGAAATGAGGAATTTTGGAATTTGGGAATTTGAGAATTTGGGAATTTTGGAATTTGGGAATTTTGGAATTAAAGAATTGTGGAATTGGGGAGTTTTGGAATTGGGGAATTGTGGAATTGAGGAGTTTTGGATTTGGGAAATTTTGGAATTGGGGAATTGTGGAATTGGGGAGTTTTGGAACTGGGGAATTTTGGAATTGGGGAAGTTTGGAATTGGGGAATTGTGGAATTGGGGAGTTTTGGAATTTGGGAATTTTGGAATTGGGAAATTTTGGAATTGGGGAATTTTGGAATTGGGGAAGTTTGGAATTGGGGAAGTTTGGAATTGGGGAAATTTGGAATTGGGGAGTTTTGGAATTGGTGAATTTTGGAATTGGGGAAGTTTGGAATTGGGGAATTATGGAATTGGGGAATTGTGGAATTAGGGAGTTTTGGAATTGGGGAATTATGGAATTGGGGAGTTTTGGAATTAGGGAATTGTGGAATTGTGGAATTTGGGAATTTGGGAATCTAGGGATTTGGGAATCTAGTAATTTAGGAATTTGGGAATTTGGGAATTTGGGAACTTGGGAATTTGGAAATTTGAGAAATTGGGAATTTCACAAACACCCAAATACCAAAATCCATAAACTAAGTTCCACTAACTCATACAACCCCAAAATTTAAAACTTCAAGAATCTACCCGTAATTTCACAATTAATTTTAATATCATAATTCAGCAACTTCCAAACATAAAATCCACTCCACAATCTAGAAACCCTAGCACGCAAATTTACATACCTAGCAGAAAATTATCACCCTATTAAATTTGCATACTTAATTCTCCAAAACAAGTGAAAATTTGACCACTAAACAATTTACAATTAAAACACAATATTAAATTCTAAGCAAAATAAAGGAAATACGCAAGTATACCACACCTAGTAAATTCAGAGCAGTATTACTTTCGTGCAAGTTCGGCATCTTTTTCGTTTCTTTTTCACCGATAACGATGTTTCGATTACCTCGATCCTGGACCTTCCGTATAACGCTCAAATTTCCTGTCGAGGTAGTTCTGATCGGTTGTACTACGGCCTTTCAATTGTTTCGCAGGAGCAGCTGGCAGAATTGGAATCGGCATTCGCAAAATCTCATTATCCGGACATATACTGCAGGGAGGAATTGGCGCGGTCCACCAAATTGAACGAAGCCAGAATTCAGGTAGGTGTTGCACTTTCTAATTGAGTAAAAAAGAAGAAACAACTGGGGAACTTTACCCTTATATGCTTCACTGGGTTACTTTTTCGTGAACTTTTTATTGGTGCACTTTTTGATGGGAGAGTTTGCTACTCTCCTAGGTTATTTTATAATTGTTAAAGCTAGGTTATTTTATAATTGTTCTAATTGTTCTGAATTCTGAGTGGTTTAAATTAATTTATTATTTATGGCAGAATTAAGTGTTCTACATTTTTAGTAGTTTTAATTAATTACTTTTTGTAGTTTCAAGTGTTTTAAATTTTTAGGGGTTGTAATTAATTAATTAATTTCTGTGGTTTCAGCTACCCTGTATTTTTAGTAGTTTTAATTAATTAATTACTCTTGGCACAAATGAGTATTCTATATTTTTAATAATTTTAATTAGTTAATTTTTGTAGTTTCAAGTATTTTAAATTTTTAGGGGTTGTTACTAATTTATTAATTTTTGTAGTTTCAACTATTCTGTAGTTTTAGTAACTTTAATTACTTTTGGCAGTTCTAACTATTCCAAATTTTTAATAACTGCAATGAACTTATTACCTTTAGTATTTTTAACTATTTTGAATTTTTAGCAGTTTTATTTAAGTAATTCATTTCTGTGGATTCAACTATTCTAAATTTTTAATAACTGCAAATAATTGATTACTTTTAGTATTTTTAACTATTTTGCATTTTTAGCAGTTTTAATTAATTTAATTTAATTTTGGTGATTTCAACTATTATGAATATTTAGTAACTTTAATTAATTAATTACTTTTTGAGCAGTTAAAGCGTAGATCCATTTTATAATAATTAAAGAAGAAATATAATTTGTATACATATTTTGTTGAATATGTAATTTAAGAATGCACATATGTTATTCTTTAAAAACTCAAATTAAAACATATTTATACAATATGTAATACTCTGTTTCGTTTAATATCAGACACAGTAACTGCACATTTTAACACAGCTACTTTTTTGACTATGACTCACACGATAATTGAATCAAAGATGCATGTGGGGTGATAAAATGAAATTACGCGCACAAATGTCGATCTAAGACTCCCCCTAACTTTCGAGGGTTGCAGAATCGATCAGAGAGCATCGACTACAAAATAAGTAACTTTAGTAAATACTATACTCCATCATTTACTATACCCTGGTATAAATATACATTCTTCCCACAAAATTTTGTGATAAAAATATTAAAAATATGATTTGATATTTACTTGAGTATGATGTACTTTTTTTGTGTGCACAATGAAAAATTTGTGTGTTAAATATTTGATTTAAGAATGAGAATGTTGATTGACAAATTCTGAAAATTATAAACTTGAAAGTGTACAATTGTACCAAGTGATTAAACTTTAATGTCTTCAACTTTATAAATTTTCTTATTTTCAAACTTTCAAACTTTTTAATTTTCAAATTTCTAGATTTCCAAATTTCCAAATTCTCAAATTTCCAAAATCTCAAATTCCCAAATTCTCAAATTTCCAAATTTCCAAATTCTCAAATTCCCAAATTCTCAAATCCCAAACTCTCAAATTTCCAAATTCTCAAATTTCCACGTTTTCAAATCCCAAACTCTCAAATTTCCAAATTCTTAAATTTCCAAATTCTCAAATTCCCAAATTCTCAAATTTCCAAATTCCTATTTCCAAATTCTCAAATTTCCAAACTCTCAAATTTCCAAATTCTCAAATTTCCAAACTCTCAAATTTCCAAATTCTCAAATTTCCAAACTCTCAAATTTCCAAATTCTCAAATTTCCAAACTCTCAAATTTCCAAATTCTCAAATTTCCAAACTCTCAAATTTCCAAAATTCTCAAATCCCAAACTCTCAAATTTCCAAATTCTCAAATCCCAAAATCGCAAATTCCCAAATTCCCAAATTCTCAAATTCTCAAATTCCCAAATTCTTAAATTTCCAAACTCTCAAATTTCCAAACTCTCAAATTTCCACAAATTCTCAAATTTCCAAATTCTCAAATTTCCAAACTCTCAAATTTCCAAACTCTCAAATTTCCAAATTCCCAAATTTCCAAACTCTCAAATTTCCAAATTCTCAAATTTCCACGTTTTCAAATCCCAAACTCTCAAATTTCCAAATTCTCAAATTTCCAAAATCT